ATTTAGTCTCAATCTAGACATAGATATACTGTATAGATATACTGTGAGAAGAGCTTGACTCTAGAAATTTAGCTTTGGTTCTTAGTGACAGCACTATTTCTCGTCTCTTAATACGCATGCAGGTAATGATCTTGAAATGAGAAGTGAATCTTCTTTTCTCTCTCAAGAGCTAGATTAGAATCATTATATTTTATTTTCAGTTTACAATCTATCTGTTCAGACCCCAACCATGAGGTCGGGGTCTGAATATGCATACAGGTAATGGTTTCACAAACAAGAGAGATGAATATTCTTTTCTCTCTCATTCGATTCTAAGAGCAAGACTAGAATCATTTTCATTTTATTTCAACGAAGTCAAGCTAAGCCACGTCGATAGCTCATGCTTGCCCCCTCAATGTTTACATTCACCTAGTTAACTTTAATAATAGTTAGACGGTCTGCCCATACAAACAGACAGACGTTTTCTCGGCTTAGTGGGGCGAGCTCAGGCTCACCCCAATAATAAATTATGACAATTAATTGACCACACCCTCATGAATAATTAATTAGGTCACCAAATTTTACCGCGCACTTTGCGCACAGCAAGAAGCCATACCCTTCCCAATCTTCTTCCTACGGCCCTGGAGAAAGATGGTACCTTTTCTGGAAGATTGTGTTCTTTATCATCTGGTTTAGAGACTGGCTTAACTTAAGGAAACATAGTAAAGCCATGTTAGCTAGCTTTTAACCATGCTTTTAGCTACTAAAATTAATGTGGGCGTGGTCACACGCATAAAAATTGAATTATTGCTTGTGGATTTTATTTTGACCTTTTTATATAAATCTGTCAATCGGCCAATATAAAATCTGCATAAAAATTTCATCTTATACGGTATAATATATTATATTAGTTTATAAGTTACATAAATTTCTTCAGTTTAATATATAAATCAGTCGATGAAATTAACCAACTAGCCTTATAGCTACATGTAAATTAAGCACATGGTATGGTCACTATGGTACTCTTGTACATTCAAAGAATAAAAAGAGCTTGCATTTTGCTATGTATGTTAGTATTGCATGGCAGTTCCATTTTCAATTGCTAGGGTTGAGCCTATTATGCCAGCATAATTTTAGGAATAATAGGGGCTTCCTCATATGAGGAATAATGCTGGAATAATTGGGTGGAAATAGGAATAATAGTGGAATAATGGGTGGAATTGAGGCTAATGGTAATTGCAAAAGAAAATTTAAAAAATTTTGGCTAGTGTTTTTTGTAAGACCTATTTTTAAGACACTACTGAAATGCAATTCTTGGGTGAAAATTGATTGTTTGAGGAAATTATTGAGGATAAATTGAGAATAATAGGATAAAATCATATTAAAATGAAAAGAATAATCGGGGAAAATATTGAGAATTTTCAGAAAGAATAATGGGAAAATTTATGAGCATACCAATTGCCAAAAATAATACTTCAACCGCCATGCAATGCATATACTGTGATTATAGATAGACTATTTAGTCTCCTATAAAATGCACATAACTACAAACTATTCATTGATTGATACAAAAACTTAGCATTTTCTCATACCAGGGATGTGCATGACATCACTGGTATGATATCATAACGTCATCATTGCATGACATCATAGCATGTGTAAATTCGATCTACTTTTTCTGTCTTAAAGGGTAAGTCAGGTGTATTTTTGGGTATTTATTCTATTGGCTTATTATGATTGCCTGACCATAATGAAGCACTATGGTGCAATGGACTCGCCTGCTGGAATTTACCTGAGTGATATGCATTACTTGTACTGTGATATTTTAAGCAATTTGAAAAAAATTATTATTGACTGCATAGTTATAATAATAATTAAAATAAGCTATAGGTGTGGTCAACAACTAACTAAATCATGGCACATGAGTAGGAGAAAGAAGAAAAGCTGAAATGTATTTTAGCATCTGAAGCTCTATTCCAAGAAAGAGTTGGCACAGAAAATTTTTCTAGATATTTAAAAGAGACTGAGAGAGTTTGGTTGCTCCTGCTTTCCCCAGTGCCACCTGAAAAATTCTCAAAGAGGCTAAATCACAAACTTTGAGCAACTGTAACTCACAAACAACGAAGTTAGGACAAAATCGTTCTTTTTGTTTTTCATTAGATGGGATTTTCTACCTCTGAAGCAAATCTCGGCCCTGTAGAGTGAAACACGAGCTCTCACCTCGAGAGAGGTCCCCTGGTTTAGCAGTTCACAGCTTTTGGTGCCATGGGATGCTACAAGAGCATAACTAGATGAAAGAAAGCAACTTTATCTGTTGCTAGAAGAAGAAATATAGCTCTAGACTGCTCAGACAAAAAGATAATTTTTTTACAAATCAATTAAACTGTGTGGACAGAATGACAGAATGACAACCCAACTGCTTAGTACCCGCCTACGCAAGCATGGTGAGTCCAATAATGATGTATTCCAACTCCCATTGTCTAAGAAAATTATTCACTGAGATATGAGCTGTCGAAGATCATGCTCATTCTTTTATACTTCCTGTCGGTGGGTGTGGCTAAACGTGACGTCACTAAAGGCTAAATTTATTCCTTTATAGGGGAAAACAATCCTTTATTCTCATGCCTAGTAGTGCAATAGCACTAATTTAAAGATTGGGATCATCAGCTTTCATTATTTTAAGCATGCAACTTTAAGAAAAAGTCATAATACTATACTTAGGGGAATCTTCTTGTTTGCTATTTTTAGTCTTTTTCTTGCAGTTCCATGCTTAAAATAATGAAAGCTAATGATCCCGATCTTTAAATTAGTGCTATTACATTACTAGGCATGAGAATAAAGGATTGTTTAGCTGCATCTATGCTCTAGTGACGTCACATTTAGTCACGCCCACCGATAGAAAGTAACAAAAATGCGGAGCATCTTTGAAAGCTCACATTTTTTTAGACAATGGGAGTTGGAATACATTATTATTATGGTCAGGCAATCATATTAAGCCAATAAAATAAATAGCCAAAAAATACACCGGACTTACCCTTTAATCCTCTCTATATAATTAGTTAGTGTGTGATAGCGGACAACCTTACACTTGCTCAACTAGAGATGTCTTCCAAGCTCATGTTGCAAATACTGCAACCAATGAAGAAGTCAGTTGTGTTATTCAACCAAGTGGATCACTCGTTGGATGCTCACAAGTGACTGTCTCATTTACCGTCACAGTTCCAGGAGAATATTTGGCTAAATTTATGATTAATGAGCAATTAGTTGGTCAAGAGCAAAGAATTGTTTACCATGGTAAGAAAAAAAGAGCCATTAATTTGAGATTTAAATATGAAAAGCACAAATCCTTATCACAATTTTTTGCATGCAACAGATTGGATTATACCTATATGTGGCAAGGGTCATTATGGCTGTGAATATGTGTATAGGTACATTAGAGTGTTACGAGTGAGTTTAAAACATAACAAACCATATTATAAACTGCCAGAAGCCTGAATTCATTCAGCTTGTTTGGTGGTTTCTCCTGTATTTTATATAGTCAGCAAATCCTAATAGATATTTTCTATTATTTTATGTATTGAGCAGCTTGAGCCACATCTTCATTGCAAACACACATCTGAATTTCATTACTGTCATGCAGCTGCTAAATTCATATATTG